TTCCCTCAACATTCCAGGCACCTTTCTATCTCAGGGTCTTTGCACTTCACTTACTGCACTTACCTTCTTCCTAAAATGCTTTTCTTTCAGATATGCACATGGTTCCTTTCCTTATCTGCCAAAGGTCTGCTCACAGGACCCCTTCTCAGTGAAGCCTCTTACCTACATCTGCAATGCTTACCCCATCCCCCAACCCTTACATTCATTTATTTCTTTATGTCATTACATCTGACATACTGTATGTTTTAATTATATCAGCTTCCAACCACCCCTCGTTAGAATGAGAGTTCCATGATAACAGGTATTTCTGTTTTGTTCACTATTGTATTTCTAGTACCTAAAGCTTAGTAGTGCTCAGATTTTTTGAATATACAAATTAATGAAACTGTGGGCTTCCCTGGTGGCTCAGATGGTAAAGAATCTGCCTGCAATGCCGGAGACCAGGGTTCCTTCTCTGGGTCAGGTAGATCCCCTGGAGAAGGGAATGGCTACCCACTCCAGTATTCTTGCCTGGAGAATTCCATGGATAGAGGAGCATTGCAGGCTCCAGTCCATGGGGTCTCAAAGAGTTGGACACGACTACGTGACTAACACCTGCAGACAGTCACAATGCAAATTAGTGAACTTGTTATAGTTTTTAGTGACTAAAAGCTGATCCTAAAAATAAACCTATTATTCAGTCACTAAGTCATGTCCAACTCTCTGTGACTGCGTAGGCTGCAGCATGCCAGACTTCCCTGTCCTTCACTACCTCCTGGAGTTTGCTCAAACTCGTGTCTATCAAGTCAGTGAAGCCATCCAACCAACTCATCCTCTATCGACCCCTCCTCCTGCCCTCAATCTTTCCAGCATCAGGGTCTTTTCTAACGAGTTGGCTGTCCACTGGAGAAGAGAATGGCAAACCACTTCAGTATTCTTGCCTTGAGAACCCCATGCACAGTATGAAAAGGAAAAAAGAATAAGCCTAGAAATGTTTAAACAACTTTGACGCATACTTTATATTAGTTGACATTTTAAGTGCAATGAGTTTTGGCAAACATATGTACTCCTATAACCTACACCATGCTTAAGATACAGAACACTGAATGTAAAATTATTAAGAAGTCACAGTTAACACACTAAGGTAGGTCTGTTTATCATAGTCAGGCATGCCTGGAACTTGATGACATTTTCAAGTTTTAGGCTTGGGACTTCCCTGGTGGTCCAGTGGTTAAGACTCTGCCTTTCCAATGCAGGTTTTCCCAGTGAAGATACTACTGCAGCTGTCAACTCCACTACTAGCAGGTAGGAAGCACTGCAGTTTGCAAGGCTGACCCCACAGACAGAAGCTACTGCTGGAACTGTTGCCACTATGGCCCCTCACAGAATGAAATCTTTACTGCTCCATCCAGAATATCAAGACAAGGTTTAGGATGGGTGTTTCTATTGGTAGAGCCGAGGTCAAGTGCCCACAACCCTAGTTACAACAAAAATGAAGTAGAATGTGGATGGAGAGAAGTCTGAAGAGGTAGTTGAGGGTCAAATTATAAAGGATCTTTTTTTGAATATCCTCTTTTAAAAAAAAATTACATATTTTGCTCCACTGGGTCTTAGGTGCAGCATGTGGGACTGTCAATCTTCACAGTGGTATGCAGGATCTTTTTATTTTTATGTGGACCTTTTTAAAAATCTTTATTGAGTTTGTTACAATATTGTTTTTGTTTTATGTTTTTTATTCTTTTTGGCTACAAAGCATGTGGAACCTTAGCTCCCCTACCAAGGACCAAACTGGGGAGGGAGGTAATGAATTTTGTTTCCATCCTGTTGCCTTTGAGACATCTGTGACAGTGAGATGAAGCTACTCAGAAAACAGCTGGAGGAACACTGGGGACATGAGCACTTGAGAGTTGGGAAGAAGAGGAGGATCCCACAAAGGAGTCCAGGAAGCCAGGCAATGGGGAGAAGGCTCAGGAGACAGCAGTGTCTTGGCTTACAGGATATTTCAGGAATAAAGTGATGTATAGTACAGAGGTCCAGCAAAAAAGAGGCTGACAAACCTCAGCCTCTTGTACTGACAAGTTTCAGTACAATGGTGGGATGGGAGCCAGGCTGAAGCATCACTAGCATACAACTAAATGTGTGATGGCTACCATTCTCTACCAAACACTGAAAGCACACACAGACCCCTGCACTCACATAGCAATCTGTCCCAAACAGCCCTGATATCTTTATGTTTAAACTATCTCAGGCTCTCTACTGGTTCTTGCTGAAGCAAACCAGATGCTTAGGTCTCAACCAGAGATTCCTGCCCTGCTCTCCGATGGAGCACCAAATGGGACAAGAGCATAAATGTCCCTCGCCTAGTTGAGGGGAACAATGGCTTCCTGAACCCCAGAACCTTTGGCTGATCTCAGGAGCATAGTACATTTAGGTGGTCGTTTCAGTGGCTGCCATCACTCCTTGCCACAGATGGGTCAAATTACCATAATTAGAATAACAGACACCTCAAACTTTGTTTATAACTATCTTACCCACAGAACATTCATTCCCCTTCTGGAGGAAAGAGTGCAAATTACCATGACCATAAGCACTAACTAGAATCAGGAGCAATGGTCCTGCACCTAAGCCTTGCCAGAGAAATTACTTCTTCATTTCTCTCAGGCTCTCTTTATATAGTAAAGTGGTCACCCAAGAGAAGAACCACTGAATGGCCTAACTAAGCCCAGGGAAAGGAACAAACAAACTCAGACAAAATCAAATACATTCATTCAAGGGAACAGGAAGTTTAACTGATGCCATGGCAACACCAGCAGCCTGTGACATCAGAGCAGAAGGCAAGGAACAAAGAGATTTGTGAGCTACCTTTCCACGGGTCTTCTCTCCCTTGAAATTTGACTCATGCTGCTTATTTGGTACTGTTTCAGAATAGTGGCATTTAAAACTCCTCTTGCTACTTTTCTCCAGCATCTTCTTGGAGATTAGCCAAAACCACATTCTGGAAATCTGCTGAGTGCCACGATCTTATTAATATGCAATGAGATCCTATTTCAGACTGCTTGTAATACCGGGCTGCCAATCAGCTACAGGGTAAGGACATAAAGTGTAAAACTAAAAATATCTGGAAAAAATTAAAGGGGAGACCAAATAAACTGAAGCTTCATCACCACTTTAGGTTGGAAATTTACACAATTAGTTTTTGAGTGAGTGGAATTTTTAGGGAGAATGGCTTCCCCAGGTTGGAGTGGAAAAATACCAGGCTCTGTGGCCGGAAAGAAGGTCTACAAACCACGAGCGAGAGAGAAGCTGCTATAAACGTTCCCCTCCCCCTCATTCAGCAGCAGCCGCTGGGTATTACTAACCTCCCCTGTAAGAAGCTACAATTGATTCCAGTCAGGAGTCTCTTAAGGCAGAATAGAATGAGGCGGCAATTTTAGTAAAGCTAGGCTCAGTTTACCAGATGGGCTGCAGGTTTACCCAGTATTAAAAAATAGCCATTAGCAGAAATTGCTTTCCTCAGTGTAAAAGACACTTTTAAAAAGAAAGAATGTACAGCTGATTCAAAGAGACAGTATCTTCATTTATGGGGTTCCCTGGTGGATCAGACTGTAAAGAATCCACCTACACTGTGGGAGACCTGGGTTCAATCCCTGAGGTGGGAAGATCCCCTGGAGGAGGGCATGACAACCCGCTCCATTATTCTTTCCTGGAGAATGCCCATGGACAGAGGAGCCTGGTGGGCTATAGTCCATGGGGTCGCAAAAAGTCAGACACGACTGATCGACTAAGTACACACATCTTCATTTATAAGCAGGAAGAGGGGGACGATCTCTTCCCATCAGGTAACTTGTTGACACATGAAGAGTAAACCTTCTCTCTCATCTTTGGTGGTAAACTTGGAAAGTTATTAAAGTGATCAATTATACTTCCTTCTTCAGTAGGGTTCTCTATTATTTAACAGAAAAGTTTTCAATATTCAAACCAAGATACCACATCCATATGTAGCCAGAGGTGTACGAAGGGCCCTTCAATTCAAGATGATTTCGGAGAGTTCATTAATCCTGTTTTAAAGGGAGATGACCCACCCCTGGAATGGACTCAATGATCAGCAGAGATTTCTAAGCAAGCGTGGGGAGGGGATTTGTAGCCCACCTAGCCTCTGTATTACTGTCTCCAGGACCTATAGTTCCCTACTGCCCTTTTGCACTTTATAGCTCCAGAAGAGATATGTGAATGGTCCTAATATAACAGAGGAAATGGCCTTGAATAGCAGCTAGAAACATTTGAGTTCGATATAAGAAACTTCCTACCATAAGGGTATTGGAATTTGGTGCCCTGTTACTAAAAAGTTTTTCCATTACTAGACAAATGGCATATATCTGTGGGTGCGATTTACTTCTGGTTCTGTATGTTTAGAACACTATCCTGATTACAAGACAGCAATATTACTTCTGATTATCTGGGTTGTCTGTGAAAATGCACATGCCTGGGTCCCACTTCAGAGCCAGTAAATCAGATTCGTCCTCAGTGAAGCCAAGGAATCTCTGTTTCTGACAAGTAAACCAAGTTATTTTCATAATCAGGGAAGTCTGGAGAACACAGATCTAAGTCTCTGCTTACAGTCATAGCAAGTTCTTAAACCTAAGGAGGAAACAAATGACTTGAAGACAGGAAACTGGTTAGACGATCAATCAGAAGGACCTCTGACTGAGTTAGGAGAACTAGAATTTCGAGGAAAGGTTGACTCTCCAGTGGGAGAGGGAGCCAGCATCCTCAGCACCACTTTGCAGTCACCAGCACTTGTTCCAGGTCCTGCCTCACTCCACCTCCTTGCCTTCTCCATTTGCTCTTTATTGCAAGAAGACTTTGCCTGAAGACTCCTCCATAGATCTTAAGCTGCAGGTGAAATCCAAGGGAGGATGGAAAGTGCTTTCCAAGCACACTTGCAGTTCCAGGATATAAGAGAATAAGACTCTGAACTGGCCTATTAACAGCCTTCAGACTTCTAAAATTCAGCCACTCACCCAGATCCGAGAGCCTTTTCATCAAGCCAGCTTCTCTTACAGCAGCAGGACCATATTCCACTCCTTTTCTTTTCTGTAAGTTAAATTAGAGCTAGATGTGAGGGAAGATGACTGAAAATCAGACCACAAAAAATACAGAAGTCTGCAATGGTATTCTTAGTTTCTTGCAGATCCCTCTGGAAACCTGTGACAGCATCAGCCCTTCCTTTTATTCTTTTAATCTGAGTTTTGGTCATTTCAAACACTTGGAGGGAAGGAGGAGAGAGACAACAACCACTGGATTCAAATCAACCTCCCAAGCCCCTCGGGGTCGGGAAGGGCAGGCGGAGATGACTGAGCCTGAGCCAAGTCAGAATCTGGCTGTTGGGTGTGTGCGTCGCTGGCCTGGGCTGAGCCCCGGCTTCTCCATCAGTGAGCTCTCCATGACTGCAGGTTTCTTTCATTGAAGAGAGGACAAAACAGCCCCTCAGTCTTCCCGCCGCCGGAGAGACAAGCGCCGACTTCCTTTCCAGTGAACGCTCTTTCTGAGAATAGACCCTGGAGGCTTAAATCCTCGGTCGCTCTCTTTAGCCTCTCCGCCCTCGATTTTCCACTGGGGATTCTCCTCGGTTTCTCCTCCTCCAGCCCCTTTGTGAAATCCTCTCCCGTCTTTCATCTCCTCCATCACCCCGAGGGGAACCCACCCCTCTCTCGCTCCTCGGAGGGGATGCCGAAGAAACCCACCAGGCCGCTTCCCCGGGCACCGCAGGGTGCCCTCCATCCCCTCCCTCCTTTCCCATCTTCTACCCCGGGGAAAAAAAATCCCACGTGCTCTCCCGGTGTCCAATCGCGGGAATCCACCACCTCATCCCCCCCTCCGTTTCTCCCCATCCTCTCCTCGCCTCCTCGCTCTTTCCACCGGTCCCGATTTTCTCCGGGGCTCGAGTGAGGGGGTGCGTGGGTGGGGGTTGAGGGGAGAGGAACCCAGCCCCAAAGTGCCAGGTCCCAGTCCTCACCTGTCCCTGGGAGAATGGGGCTCCAATGACAGCCACGGAGTGGACAGACTTCTTCCGGACGGAGTGCACTTGCGTCCGGAGGAGACGCGAGAGGTGGCTCCTCAGGGACATGATGGGCAGCGCAGGAGGTAGCAGACCCTGAAGTCTGCTGCGTGCGGATCGCCTACTGAGGTGAGCGCCGGGGCCGACAGAGCTTAAAGCCTACCGGCGCGCGCCGCCCCGCCCCGCCCAGTGACGTCACAGCCGCCCGGCCCCGCCCAGGCCCCCGCCGCCTCGCCCCCAGCCAGCCCACGGCACACCTTCCTGCAGGCCCCGCCCATTGTTGCTCCGTGCCCCTGCTCTCGCTGATGTCACTTGGCTCGGGTTCGGGCTCTCGGGCCGAGGACTTGCCCCTGCCGCTGACGCCACCAGGGCCAAGATCGGGGGCCTAGCCAATAAGGAGGAGGTGCCGGAGAGGTGTGTCCCTTGGCGGGAAGCGGCCGCCGCCCCCCACCCCACCCCCCAAATGCGCGAACTCAGCGGAACATGCGAACCAACCAACACGTACGTAGGCTCGAGGATCGTGACCCTCTTCGCACAAATGCACGCCTGGCAGATGCCAGTTCTACGGAAGAGTTGGCTGTGGCTGGACTTGGTCCAACTCCATGTGAGTGCCTGGCCAAGACCAAGTTGGTGTCCATCGGCTCCGTTTCATCTCAGAGCTCAAGGTCCAGGAAACGTGCTTATCACCTCCTTTGGGCGTCAAAAGCTAGGAGATCCAGTATAGATTAGAGCTCTCCGGGGGGCGTGTTAAACCCACCTATTTTAGGTATTTTGGATGTGAAGATTAGGATTTATAAATTACCTTCTAGGCGTTTTCAGTTCTTCACCTGAATAACGGGAGTACCGATTATTAAAAAACAAGCATAGCAACGTATCTGAACTACTTCTCAGTTTTAGAGAGGCTAAAGAGCTGATAGTAACTACTTAAAGTTGTAATAGTAATATTCTAATAACCGACGTAAGTTCTAAGAACTTTCAGCCCTTTAACAACTCCATAAATTACGGACTATTTTAAGGTCGTGGAGACAGGATTAGAGAAGATAATACTTTTCCAAAGTCAGGAAGCAGGTAGCTACCTGACTCTAGATTCCAAGCCCTTAACCATGATTAGTGTCTTACAGGAAGGATTTATAGAAATCTGGACGTTATTCCTATCAAAAATAAATTTTTATATAAATACCTGAAAATGTTTTCACCTGATGCCAACTTACATGCAGCTCTCTAAAATATTTCAGAAGTCTCCATGGCAATGTCGTAATTCCAAGGAGCTTTAGTACTATAAAGCAGATTTTGTTTCTTTGTTTTTTGGCTGCGCTGCGGGAGCTTGTGAGGGATCATAGTCCCCCCGACCAGGGGACCAGGGATCCAACCGGTTGTTGGCAGTGAAAACACGGAATCTTTCCCACTGGACCACCAGGGAATTCCTAAGGCGGTTTTATTTTTAAAGGATAAATTTTATACCTGTCTCCCCCTGCTGGTTTAGAAAGAGGTATCTTTGAAGCCTTAGCAAAATAAGCAGAGTATTACTGTGAGGCAGTGGTTTTGAAAGTGTGGTCCCAGATCAGCAGGGTCAATATTTGCATGCTTGGCAGAAATGCAAATTACTGAGTCTGACCGCCCCCCCTTCCCCCCGCCAAACGTTATTGGCTAAGTAACTCTTGGGGTAGGGAGCCAACGGCCAGGGTTTTAAACAAGTTCTCCGGGGGGTGGGGGGAAGTGCAGAGAGCCTGGATGGGGTTGTGGCCAGGGAGTCACTGATTTGTCACACTTAAGCAGATCCTTGTAATTATCTAAGTGCATTTTTCTTGCCCATCGACCCACTCATTTTTTCCCCCTTGCTATGTTTTCGAAGTTAATACTGTCACAGATTACCTCAGGTTTTCCTGGAAACCTCAGCGCATGAGCACCTACTGTGAGTCACCAGATTGATTTTCTGAAGTATTGCATGAATCCTGCATGTCACTTTCACTGGTCTTCCACCACCTACAATTTACTCACAGGTAAATTACTAGTTCCACAATACTATACATCAGGGGAGTGAATAGTAGATTTTTATATCACTATTATATTTTAAAATTATTAATTTTATATATCTGAAAATATTTTATAATTCATTTCTTTAAAACCCAAAGTTCAAATAACAAGGTCTGCTTTTATTTCCAAAATAGGTATTTATTTTCAAAATAAGTAATTAAAGATAATATTCTAACATTACATAAAAGAATGAATTAAATTTTAGAAATTTATTTTAAGACTTGTAGTACTCTTTTATAGCGTAGCTCTTGGACCTTTCCTCAGGTCCAAATCAGCTGGTTCTCTTTCTTCTTCCTTTGTAGGAGGACCTAGAGATTCTGCCTCTGCAATTCACTGGCTACCAACACATACTCTATCCCTTGATAGATTGCTGGGAGTGTGTGCTGGAGGTGATAGGTGGGGGGGTGGTCAGTAGGTAAGACCTGATGATGGTGTTGAGAGATCTCTCTCGTGTAAATACTCCACAAGGGCTATCATTTCGAGCTACCATTGTGATGTCACTGAACATGAAACTGGGAAAATGTGCTGCTTATAAAATATTTTCACCATATGTATACAATCACCATAAATAACCTCAAGAGCATAAAAAAGTAAGATATAGTAAAATAATTAGGCATAAAGTTTTGAGTATCTTTGTTTTTATTATGATTTACTTGTAAGTTTATATAATTTGACTTTTAATGATGGCAATGTTTAACAACTGGCTTGCAAAATTCCTGAAAATTTGACAATAGGGTCTTGTGTGTGCTTAGTCGCTCGGTCATGTCCAATTCTCTGCAGCCCCATGGGAACCGTGCCCCATGGGGACTGTAGCCCGCCAGGCTCCTCTGGCCATGGAATTTTCCAAGCAACAATACTGGAGCAGGTCGCCATTTCTGGCTCCAGCAGATCTTTCCGACAGGTGGCTAAAAGCAGTGTCCAGCACACCACTGTTTACTACAAATCTAAGGGCACTCCAATGTTCTTGCCTGGAGAATCTCAGGGATGGGGGAGCCTGGTGGGCTGCCATCTATGGAGTCACACAGAGTCGGACATGACTGAAGCGACTTAGCAGCAGCAGCAGCACCAGCAGAAAGGGAACTCAGAGAGGACTAAATTGCAAATTCTCAAAGGCAGGAACCATGACTCTTTCTGTTCATCATTTGATCCTTTCCAGAGTACACTGCTTGGCACATAACAGGAGCTTGGTAATGAACAAAACTTAGACTTTTATGAAGCCCTTATTCATGGTCCTTGGTCTAGGGCTCTGATATGGTAAGTGGAAATTTCCAAAGGGCTGAGCTCATTGACCACACCTTTTGACTCTAAAGTCTGTGTGTATACTCACTCAGTTGTGTCTGACTCTTTGTGACCCCATGGACTATAGCCCACCAGGCTCCTCTGTCCATGGGGATTTTCCAGGCAAGAATACTGGAGTGCGTTACCATTACCTCTTCCAAGGAATCTTCCAAACCCAGGGATCAAACCCGAGTCTCCTGCATTTCCTGCACTGGCAGGCAGATTCTTTACTACTAAGCCACCTGCTTAGCCCGACTCTAAAGTTTAGAGCCTCTTAGTTAAACTATTCATGTATTCATTTATTGTCAATATTTAACACATTTAAATATTGTCAATATTTAAAGTGCAAAAAAAATGGTTCTATGTGTTGTTGACAATGACAGATAAAATCTCATCGCTCCCAGTACTTACATTCTAGTGGGGAAAACAGTTAAGTAGATACATAATTGAGCAAGCTCCTGGGAGATGGTGAAGGACAGGAAAGCCTGGTGTGCTGCAGTCCATGGGATTGCAAAGAGTCCGTTTTGACTTAGTGACTGAACACACACACACAGATACATAATTTTAGATGGCAGTAAATGGTATGGAGAAAATAATGTAGAGTAATGGAACCAGATGTACTATTTTAGAAAGAAGGGTCAAGAAAGGCCTCTCCAAACTGACATTTGAGCCAAAGACCTGAATGATAAGGAGCTACCATAACAAGTTCTAGGAAAAGAGCCTTTCAGACTTATAGGAACAGCAAGATCAATAGCCCTAAGTTGAAACCGGCTTGTGGGTCAGAAGAACAAGAATGCCTATATAGCCCAAATGTCCAGAGCAGAGGAAACACGGTGACTTGGGTCATGTTGGTGGGGGGGGGTCAGATGTCAGGGGCATCGGTGAAGAGCATAAACTTCAGAAAAAGAATTTTTACAGAAAGGCAGACGATTAATGTTTCTGAATCTGCATTAGGGAGTTGGGAAAATGTGGTCCCTTCTTTCTTTGCTTTTCCATCCTGGAGCTGGGAGAATTCATACAATACAGGTAAGGAAGCCGAGGATGAGTTCTAAGGAGGGTAAGACATAACAGTCTGTTTACCATGCAGTGGGGATTCCTGGGTTCAGTAGAAAGCCTGAAGTGAGGGGAATAGAAGCGGGGACGTGGGAGTAAATGACTGGTCTCATTGCCTGCCCAACCAGTAGTCCTGTGTGGAGGGAGGTGCCTGAGCCCCTCACATACTCATCACTCCCCCCACCCTCACCCTCACCCCCATAACACAGAAGGGGATTTTATTTTTAGCCTTGATCAGTGATAAAGAAGTAAAAACAGACCAACAGCTGCCATCAAAGGCCAAATGAAATTTAGGTGTGAAATCTCTTTTAGCGTCAGCAGAGGCTGGGGCTGGGAAGGACATCAGAACATTTTGTCCTTGGTCCAGGTCTGCACTACAAACAGCCTTCAAGCCCTTTGCACCTTACTGTTCTTTCTGTTTAGGACTTTACTTCCTTTCCCTCCCTCCCTCCCTTCCTTCCCTTACTTAATTCCTTCTCATTCTTCAGGTTTTCAGTTTGAAGTCACTTCTTCAAGGAAGCCTTTCCAGACCCTCCAATGCTGAGTTAGACATGATAGTACTAGCTAACATTATTGAATGATTACTATAAACTAGATACCCGCTCAACGTGTTGCAAGTGTTATTTAAATTTTCATCACAATGTAGTGAGGTAGGCACTGGTATTATCTCCATTTAAGATATGGAAACCAAGACTTGGTAAGGT